GACCGCCCGCGGGCTTACCTGAGAGCCAGCAGTAACCCCGAGGAGCTGCGGGTTCGAGCACATCTGGAAGAGAGGAGGAGATGAGGATCAGTCCAGCCCTGAGCAGCCTGACCCCACCCGGAGGGCACAGGCTTTTATTCCAGCTCAGACAGCGCCCCCACCAGGCCTGAGAGACCACTACACAATGCTCCTCCTGTCTACAGTATATGTCAATATTTTATAATGTCTGTTGTAAACGTCTGGAGATTTTATTTTATGTGAATTTCATTACTTTCATTTGCTTTGGCAACACTGATTGTTCCCATCGGTCATGCTAACAAAGCACCGTGAGTTGAACTGACTGCAACCCCCCAGCCCAGCCCCCGGTCTCAGAGCGCTCTGCGGTAACACCCGGCCCGGACCCAACTGGAGCCCTCCAGGCCCCGGCGCTGCTCAGAATCTGGTAAAGGATTTTCTCCACGATCAGTCAGGAAGAGAGAATTCATCCACATCACCGCAGCACTGAGGCACACAGAGGGGCCAGCGCCCCCGGCACGGCACCAGAACCCCAGGTCAAACCGGCCCACAGCCGGACCCCCGGGCCAGACCGGACCACAGCCCCTCCAGGCCGTGCTCGTGTCACAGCGGGGCACACTCGGAGCGGCCCTCGGCCTATCGGTGCGGGACACGACGGGCAGTCTTACCTGCAGGCCGCACACTGACCAGGAGGCGCTGGAAGAGAAAGAGAGAGAGATCAGTCCTCGGACCCGGGACCGACACGTGCTCCAGGCCCGACCCCCTGCTCACGAGTCCGGACACACCCGAGACCCGCAGCTGCTCCACGGCCTCCAAACTACACTGACCGCCGCCCTCCTCTGCGGAACGGCACAGCCAGGGAGTCTACCCCCGTGGCCCCGGGGAGCTAGCCCGTGCGCTGCAAGGCGCTATATAACGCCACCGGCTGAGGGCCCTCGGGGAGACCACGTGGGCGCGGGGCCGGCTCCCGGCGGGGCGCCCGTCTCTCGTCAGATCAGAAAGTGCAATCACTGCGCCGTCAGGACAGGTCTGTGGAGGATCATCACGGAGAAACTGCGCGCCCCCCAGTGCCCTGCACCCCGAGTCCGGGCCCGAGCCAGCATGGAGCATGGAGCATGGAGCATGGAGCATGGAGCATGGAGCATGGAGCATGGAGCATGGAGCATGGAGCATGGAGCATGGAGCATGGAGCTCCCGCCCCCCCCAGCGTACAGAGCCGAGACTCTGAAATACCCCAGAACTGCACAGCCGCCCCGCAGCGTGCGGACACACTAGACCAGCTCCGCAAGCGCCTCGCTATGCCCTTCCCCAAGCTTCACTGGCGGCGGTGCAGGAGCGAAGAAGGATTAGTAAGAGACGAAGAGAAGCCAGAGTTCAGCTCACCTGCCGCGGCAGCCCGATGCAAATGGCCGAGCAGAGCTGTGCGCCGCCTTTTATCCTCCGGGTCGCCACCGGAAACCGGAAGCTCTTCCCGCCTTGAAACCGCCAAAAACAAAAATAGAAGAAATCGGCTCCTAAAAAAGACCACTGCCGCGCTCTCCAGATTAGACTGCGGG